TCACTAAATTGAACCCTGTGTACTCAATGAAACCAAGTGAACTAGAAGGATGAAATATTCGACAATGTCAACTGTACACTTTGCAGCTAACTAGGACAGGACCTAGATAACTGTCCACCCCCTGAAGCTGTGTACTCAATGATACCGAGTGTACTATTTAAGGATGAAATATTCGACAATGTCAACTGTACACTTTGCAGCTAACTAGGACAGGACCTAGATAACTGTCCACCCCCTGCATTTCACTTAACAAGTATATTACAAGCTATTGGAAAAATTATATGCTTTAAAACAACATCAAATACACATAGGTCTTATTGTAGAAAACATCTTGGATATCTTAATTCTACAATCATCGTTTCTATGAAGACGGTTTAAAGAGTATCGTTGTGAATTGGGTATCTATATCATTAAATGGAGGATTTCAGCAGTCCCTTTAAGTGTCAAAATTACACACTTGTTTACAATACTTAGAATATCTGCAGGAACTACTTCTCTTTAATGTAAATTAAATTCTTTTACTCTTTTGTCTTTCATCATGAAATATAAATTCTCCGATTATTGATTAAACTTTGATCAAACGTGTCTCAGTGTCTCCACAGATATAGATCAGTCTGGTTTATGCATATATATTTATATATATAAAATATACACATTATACTAGGATCTGGTATATGCGTATATACACAATATACACATTATGCTAGGATCTGGTATATGTGTATATACATAATATATACATTATACTAGGAGCTGTTATATGCGTATATACATAAAATACACATTATACTAGGATCTGGTATATGCGTATTGCGTATTTACATAATACACACATTATACATCATACTAGGATCTGGTATATGCGTATATGCATAAAATACACATTATACTAGGATCTGTTATATGCGTATATACATAATATACACATAATACTAGGATCTGGTATATGCGTATATACATAATATACACATTATACTAGGATCTGGTATATGCGTATTGCGTATTTACATAATACACACATTATACATCATACTAGGATCTGGTATATGCGTATATGCATAAAATACACATTATACTAGGATCTGTTATATGCGTATATACATAATATACACATTATACTAGGATCTGGTATATGCGTATATACATAATGTAAACATTATACTAGGATCTGGTATATGCGTATACACATAATATACACATTATACTAAGACCTGGTATATGCGTATATACATATCATACACATTATACTCGGATCTGGTATATGCCTATATACACAATATACACATTATACTAGGATCTGGTATATGCGTATATACATAATATACACATTACACTAGAATCTGGTATATGTGTATATACATAATATACACATTATACTAGGACCTGGTATGCACTTGATTTATTCAAGACTATAGATATTTAACCAAAACATTGGAATTCCGTCAAAATAAAATTATACATAATAACACTTGTATATATAAAAATCTACATACTCTCGTAAAATTCGTCATTCTCATAAATATAACAAAATAAGGGAAGCCGTCAAAGTGCATATAAACACTAAAATGTTTGGGAAAGTGCACATTAATACTAAAATGTTTGGGAAAGTGCACATGAATAATAAAATGTTTGGGAAAGTGTACATGAATACTTAAATGTTTGGGAATGTGCACATAAATACTAAAATGTTTGGGAAAGTTCATATGAATAATAAAATGTTTGGGAAAGTGCACATGAATACTAAAATGTTTGGGAAAGTGCACATAAATACTAAAATGTTTGGGAAAGTGCACATAAATACTAAAATAATTAGGAAAGTTCACATGAATACTAAATTGTTGGTGGAAAAGCTTTAATACTGGGAGGGAAGATTCAAAACCACAAAAGAATAATCTGATTTGTGAAACTGACCGATTTCAACATGTTTTTTTGATCTGGGTAGTTCAAAAATAAAAATTAATGTATTTTTGTTTGGCCCCCAAGAGCAAATATTTTTACTTGTAATCTCAATAACCCACCCTACTGCATGTACAATGCACAAATAATCTACTGTATACTGTCTAAATAAATATTATAGGTACTATATATCAATCAATCTACCCTATATACAGAATACAGATATATAGTTATAAAGGAAAGTATTGCTATAGTTCTGGAGGATAGTTTACTTGTTTGTATGTTTGTCAGTTTGTGTGTTTGTGAGTTTATAAATTAGTAGTCTTGCTTTCCTTGTTTATACAGTTAGTTCCAATCATCAGTGACAGTGCCTCAGAGCTAGAAATTTAATAAATCAAAAACAATTTAATCTCGGTTTTCAGAGATTGATTTTCGAGATACTACTGTAAAAATATTAATTTCCGAGCAGCTTGAAAAATATGTAGAAATATTTGGAAATAATTCTATTCATCGTGTTGAATTTTAAACAAAATTTGAAGAATTTCATTCAAGAAAACTTGTTTTAAATACCATTATACCATATCATTTTTTATTGAACATACATAAAGTTTATAAAAAAAATTCTATCACTCGATTTGATTGAACATATTTTCTAAGCGGAGATAAATTTTATCTCTCTTAAATGAGCGAATATTGTAATATCTGTATCTGTAGTATGGACTATTCTATCAGGAAAAAAATAATGAAAATGACCATCTTTACTAGTGCTTCTTGAACGAATCCGTGTGTCGTTTTTTTTACAAATCCGCGGTTTAAATCTTTAAATTTTGGGTCTATTAAAACGCATAATTTTGATTAAACTCAACCTCTCTTTGTGAACAAAAGAAAAGGAACTGATTTTTAAACTTTCATACGATCTAGTAGTGCAAAATAGTTTAAAGGGATTGTTCAGTTTTTTTTGTAATTTAATGGTAAACTAAATAGCCTAGTAGCTATGCATTGATATTATTCTTACTTTTCAAATATAATTATGGCAAGAGAAATAGCCGATTTATCGCTTAGAATTCCAGTGCAAAGGTTTTTCATGATCAAACATGATTAAATACAAAGACGACCTTCTCTCTCAGTCAAACCGGTTCCTAGATTCCAACTCGGGGATTCCTGGGGAAGTAGGGAAAACGTATCAATCCGTCAAATGTTTAAAATAAATTATGTTTTGCAAATAGACAATTTTTAAATAACTTTGAAAAAAATTTAAATACTAGAAATTCAGGGCGCTTCGCGGCCTTCTTTCTGGGCTTTTAGGGTGCTTCGCGCCCATCTTTTATTTCAACTTTTAATTGTGGCTTCATCTCTGAACATCTTCTCTTTCATAATATTTTTTTGCGCATTTTCAAAATTTTTCAAAAATAAAAAACTTTTAAGCTTAAATTTTTAAAATTTTGATCATGCATAAACCTTCCCTGGGGTCACGTGAGGTCCCACAAAAAATTTGGGCCCGATCGGTTCAGCAGTTTTGACGTTTATTGTACACAAACAAACAAACAGACAAACAGACACCCAGACAGACAAGCCAAATTTATATATAGATTTACAATTAACTATTAGACGCTATACTTTAATCTTATATTTGAAAATTTAAAAAAATCCAAGACTATGACAAAAAGCATCAAATAGTGAACTCTGAAAGAAAAATCGACGTTTTCTTCGGCCACAGTAAAGTAAGACTAATACCAATGAATAGCTTATAAGTAATTTAGTTTACCCCAAAAAAGTGAACGGTCCCTTTAAATATTCCAAATTTTGCAAAAATAGGTGAAATATTTCATAACATATATTTATAATCTCAGTTAGCATTTCATTCAATTATAAACTATCATGTAAATAAGTAAAACATCTAATTTGTGTATATTAAATTTATTGTATTATAATTTTAAAAATTATAAACTTTACTTGAGATTAGTAATTTTCACTTTTATTTTAATTAAAATTTGAATAAATAATTCACATGTTCGCTGGTTAGTTATTAAAGGGCTTCAATCATCTTCATTAACACACAATTAAACAAGATTAGTTCTATATTTCACAATAGTTTATAAAAAGTACTTTTATTTAAATATCAACCACTCCTCAAAAGTGATCTAAAAACTGTTGTTTAAATTAACCCACAATTAAACAAGATTAGTTCTATAGTTCACAATAGTTAATAAAAAGTACTGTTATTTAAATATCAACCACTCCTCAAAAGTGATCTAAAAACTGTGCAAGGTACTTTATTATTAGGTATTGTTTTATGTGTTGATTTTGTAACAAAATATTAATCTTTTCCCTAAAATCTAGTGCCAGGCAGTAAAAGAGGACATATTTTCCTCTTTTCCTTCACATCGGCATATTCAAAATATTGAACTATTATCTTGCGTTTGATGATTTTCTGTGGTTTTTCATCTGACTTGTATTTTTTTTTGAAAATTCACAAATAACAAATAAGAATAATAATTATGTGTTTATCGGTTAGAATCAAATCAGTTAATTTAATGTAAATAAAATCAGAATTTTTTTTTTGAAAATCTTCTTTATGTTCCTTGGATCAATATACAATCTAAAACTTGATTTTCTTGAATCTTTAATCCTGACAACTTTCTTCATTTCCGAAACCTCGTAGAGTCCTGTAATACTAAAGTTTTTGTGTCATGCAGTTTTATTCCAAAACATTCTCAATCCGAACTCAACCTCTGTGGTGTAAGGCTGTAGTATTTACAACTGTTGGTTCATATTGTATAAAATCTAATCAACTTAGTGTTCTTTTTCTTACATCAAATCAACTTCCATCATCTTTTAAAATCTACATTAATATATCAATTCAACAAAAGATCTTGTTTTTTAAGAAGATTATCAAATTAAGATAAAAATCCTTGAATAAACAATATCAGCCTTTATTCTGAAATTCACAAACCTCAACCATCCTTAGTTTTATTTGGATATACTTTCTATTCAATTATGGAAAACTTGTATAAATTCAAGAAATTTTATACTTTTCATTATTAAAAAATGTTCTGCGTTGATCCAGTAATATGAAAATATTTGTTAACTTGATAACTTTCATTTCAGAAAGATTAAGATCTGATGAATAGCTGAAATCAGAAATACAAGATGTGAAAAATAATTATAAAAGTGAAAGAGCAGAATATGGCTTGAAGAAACTGAAGGACAAGAAATGAAAGAAAAAAGGATAAAAGAAACAAATATGTTAAAGAAAATGGAACACTGTTCTTAAGATGGCTTAGAAATGTTTCGAGTCAAATGCAAGGGCTGCTACTCCAGGTACAAAACTGTACAATTGGGCTGTTACTCTAGGTACAAAACAAAACAAAGGCTGTTACTCAAGGTACAGAAATATACAAGAGATGATACACTAGGTACAAAAATTACATTAGGGCTGTTACTCCAGGTGCAAAACTGTACAAGGGCTGTTACTCTATGTACAAAACTATGCATGGGCTGTTACTCTTGGTACAAAACTATACAAGGACTCTTACTCTAGGTACAAAACTACAAAAGGGCTGTTAATCTAGGTACAAAACTTTACAAGGGCTGTTACTCTAGGTACAGAACTATAAAAGGGATGTTACTCTAGGTACAAAACTATACAAGGGCTGCTATTATAGGTAAAAAACTTTACAAGGGATGTTACTCTAGGTACGAAACTATACAAGGGCTGTTGACCTAGGTACAAAACTATACAAGGGATGTTACTCTTGGTACAAAACTTAACAAGGGCTGTTAACCTAGGTACAAAACTATACAAGGGATGTTACTCTAGGTACAAAACTATACAAGGGCTGGTACTCTATGTAAAAACTATACAAGGGCTGTCAGTCCAGGTACAAAACCATACAAGGGCTGTCACTCTAGGTACAAAACTATACAAGGGCTGTTACTCTAGGAACAAAACTATACAAGAGCTGTTACTCTATGTACAAAACTATACAAGGGCTGTTACTCTATGTACAAAACTGTACAATTGGGCTGTTACTCTAGGTACAAAACAAAACAAAGGCTGTTACTCAAAGTACGGAACTAAACAATGGCTGTTACACTAGGAACAAAACTATACAATGGCTGTTACTCTAGGAACAAAACTATACAAGGGCTGCTAATCTAGGAACAAAATTATATACAAGGGCTCTCATGCAAAAATCAAGTTGTTTTTCCCAATTACTCTTTCTAAGCTTAAAACTTGAAAAAGCGCGTTGCATTTTAATAATAAATACCTATAATGCTACAAAAAAAAAGTATGAGTAAGCTTGTGAGGTAAAACCAAAGGCCATTGCACTGCGACACTTTAAAGTGGGTGTTTTCTAAGCATTTGATGAATTATTTAAAGAGTTATCTACATCTCACCTCAGTGCCCTTCAAACATCGACTCCTCAATCTATCAGAATTCATGATTTAAAAACATGTGTCTCCGACATTACGTTAAAAAGATTTTAAAAAAATTTGAATATTTAAGTCTGATACAAGAGTTCAGTTTCTTCCAAGACATAAACATTCTAATAACATAAACATATTTGTTCAGGATGTGTAGTTCTTCAGCGGGGATTATCAGGTAAAAAATAGGAATAAAATTTTGTTAAAAAAAATATTGTGGGCGAAAATTTTTTGGTTTGAGCTGAAGAGGGTTTAAAAAGGTTTCACTGCAATATAAATATACCTAAAATCAAAATAAATTTTTGAAATGTTTGCTACTTACCATTTTCTCCTTGTTACCATGCACTCTAGTAAGTGTTACCATTTTCACCTTGCTACCAAACCATGCACTCTAGTAAGTGTTACCATTTTTTCCTTTTTACCATGCACTCTAGTAAGTTTTACCATTTTCTCCTTGTTACCATGCACTCTAGTAAGTGTTACTATTTTCTTCTTGTTACCATGCACTCTAGTAAGTGTTACCATTTTCTCCTTGTTACCATGCACTCTAGCAAGTGTTACCATTCACTCTAGCAAGTGTTACCAAAGATATAAAGTAGGGTTTAGCGGAGAGTGACACACGGAGAACAATCATTTTGTGTGATTAGGATTGTTGGGATGTCATTGTAACATTTAAACTATTATCAAACCAATACCCTATTAATTCCCCAAAAAATAAAAATCAATTAAAACATAATTAGTATTTTATTGAAATTTTGGAAAGAAAATGATCTAACAGAACACAGAACTTATAGTTTTTATATATCAAAGGTTTACGACATTGGGTTGCAAAGACAAAAAGATTTTATATAGTTATAAAAACATTGTTTTCATCTATTTAGTGATTAAAATATTAAAACTTTTTTTTAAAATTCCGACATGGTTTTATGAAGATTGGTTGAATTAACTTGAAAGGGTTTATTTTGTTATTAAAAGATTTTTTAACTAACAAATAATTTTAATTTCTAATAGTATATATGAATATGATACATGTTCTAAAAGTTTAGATTTTTCCACTGAACAAATAGTTAAAAATTAGCAACTTTAAGTATTGGAATTTTATTCGTCTTCGTAATATGCTCTTGAATTCAAAAGTTCCCGAGTCGAGTTAGCGTTTTTTTATTAGCTTAACCAATCAAAAATTCTTGGCTTGGGACATTTTTGGCGTCTCTTTGAAGATAAAGAGAAAACAAAGTTTAAAAATAAATGTTGAAATCTCAAATGAACATTTTTATTTATATGAATTTTCGTTATCTTTTTACAGATTGCTGCTGTTCCTCTGTATATTCTCCGTTTTCATTCTGTTAACAGCATACGAGTTCATCATTTCAAACAATCACTTTACTAATATACCAGGTACTAAAACCAAGGTTGCATAATATGGCTAGATACTCTGGATGTGCTCCAGTGTAGGTAAAGACGACCTTTCTAGCAATGGACACTCTAAATCCTCATATGACGTCATCAGTACTTATTTTAAAGAATAATAAAGTATGCGGCTCACGTAATATAAACGAAATCTAAAATTAAAAACTTTAATTAGAATGGATTTTTTAGCTTAAATTTGTTAACACAATCAATATTGGGCAATGATGACTGTTACATGACTGTATCTGTGACATCATATGATGATTTAGAGTATCCATTGCAAAAAAAGACGACATTTACCTACATTGGAGCGTATGCTGACTATCTAACCTTATATACAACCTTGACTGAAACCAAGACACATGTTTATGCTTAGAAGGAACTGTGATTGTAGTATCATGTTATTGATTAATTAATCTATTTATTCGTATAATATTATAATATAATTCGTATAATATTATAATGGCACAGTTTATGCAATCCTATGTATTAAATGCCTTACTCCTAAAACCGCTTTCAGGCTAGTATCAATCCAGGTACCACTCAATCCCTCTCGTAGGTCTGGATATATTTACTCTGACATTATACATATTATTGCAAATTACAACTGACGTGTATGTAGATATCTATGTTACAGATTAAGTTCATGTACGTTAATGTAATGTACCCTCCATTTGATGAAGGTTATAGTCCTATTCATAACGTTTATTTACAAAAGTCTACGTCCATTATTTTTAAAAAAGTACCAATTTCAGCAGAAAAATACGTGAAAGTATATATTTCTATGAATTACAAAGACAAATAGCAGCGTTTAACAGTTAAACTAGTGTTGTACAAAGTTCATTTCTGATATTTAACAAAATTGTAAAATGTTCTGTCCGAAAGGTTCATTTTGTGAGTCTATAATCCCTGAACTTAACGAAATGTTTACTCTTAGAGTTAGACGGATGGAATATCCCAAGAGGAAGTCCAGGAATTGGTGATCATATTGTCAACTCTAGACAGATGGAGCAGTACATATACCAAGATACAATTGTAGATCAAGAAATTTTCAACAGAACTCCTTCTAAAGGTTTGAATCAACCATTTAGTTTCTCCAACCCCTCCAGAGACCAAGGGATTACAGAGAATAGTTTAACAGAAACTGAAACAGATAAATCCCAGGTTCTTCTTAATTCTTCCTTGCCAAGCTCTACAGATCCTATAAATGCCAATTCATCAAATTCATCCAGCTCATCCAGCTCATCAAATTCATCAAGTTCCAGTACAGCCGGTTTATTCAGTTCATATAGTACAGCTAGTGCAAAAGCTAAGGCTAGTACACAAGCTAAAGCTAGTACACAAGCTAAGGCTAGTACACAAGCTAAAGCTAGTACGCAAGCTAAGGCTAGTACACAAGCTAAAGCTAGTACGCAAGCTAAAGCTAGTACACAAGCTAAAGCTATAAGTACAGACAGTAAACAACCTAATACTAGTACACCAAGTACTATGTTCTCTACCAAAAACGAAACAGAAAACCCAAGGAAACCAAACTAAATTTTTCAACTTTAAAAAAACAATACTAGTTTCTAATCGTTAATTGTATTAATATGGGAGGTAGGGGTATATGTTATTTGTTGCGCGATTTACAAAGTTTTTGGAGGAAATATCGACTTTTAAGTGACGTAAGCGTAATTTCAAGTGACCCTCCATGCAAATATGCAGGCAATATCTGATTTACAATGGTACCTTTAAAAGCTTTATCTGATCAATTATAAACTAAATATCAATGTTCTCACAGAAATAAACAATTTTAGAGTCAGAAAAACGACAATATCTTCCACACAATTGATCAGATTAAGGTTTCAAGGGTACCTTTGTAAATCGGGCATTGTCAGCTTTGCACGGAGGGTCACTTAAAAATACGCTTACAGTCCCTTTAAACGGATCCCTTTAATTGTTGATTATCTATTTTTTGGTTCAAAATTCAAAAATTAAACAATTTTAATTGATACAGTTTCCCCTTTTAAAAAAATATAATAAGATAATTATGATAATAGGATTAAAAAAAATAATGCGTTTATTATGTTGAACCTTACATTTATATAAATATGAATATAATTTAACTATTTAGATTCAAAGATAAAAATGTCTGTGGTGTGATGATTAAAAAGTATTCTCCAATTATTTCTGATATAGATCTTATTATCTTTCAATCTTTTTATCCCTTAATTATATTGAACTATATATCTATGAATACCAACAAGTGTTAGCGAATGAAAGGCCCCGGAAGTTCATCAATAGAATAATAGACACATTTTTCAAACATTAAAAGTCCAATTGTAATACTATATATTTCTATGAAAGGAAAGTTTAATTTGGTTTTAGTTTTGGAGCTTTAAGCTTGTGCAACGAAATTCCAGCTGGTCTGGTGGGGAGGCTTCAAATAAACATGACGGTAAAATTAAAAGTTTCCCGCATGTGTGAAGACAAAAAAGCTGGCAGATTTTTTTTCAGGTTGTGGATTTGGAGAAAATAGCCCAGGAAAACTTGAAAATAAAGGTAACTATAATTACAAGATACTTTTATTGAAATAAATCACAAGGAACTTTTTTTAAAATTTTTAAAACAACTTATATCTAAAGAAATAACAACAATTGTTGTACAAAATCAATTCATTCAAATAGATTTCAAATTTTTAGCAGATGCATAAGGCATAACCGCTATGCATTTTAAGTAGACCCGGCCTAAAATGCCCCACTGCCTACTGCCTAGGTCTACTACATCGGGTTGCAAAGATATAGGGATAAGCAAAATAAAGTTTGTAGTAAAAGCTGAATTCTATTAATTTTTCTATTTTAAAGTTTTTACTTTTGATTATTTAAGAAAGATTTTGTCGGTTTCATTTCGTTGTATAGTTTACAAATTATTGAATTCATGACGATTTATTCAAAATTATACCAAAATTCAGCAATTTTTATTCATTCTCTAAAAATGATATATTTATACTGTATTCAACTTACTTTGTACTTATTAATCGGTAATTGTATTATTCATGAATCAATTTGTAGTTTTTCTTCCAAGGGACAGTTTAAGTATTTAAGTTACGGTCAGTGTTACCAAAAAAATATGAGATGGTAAAAACCACACTTAGTTTTTAAAATTATCGATCTATAGGCTGGGTGTAGTCTTTCACAAATAAAATGCAGTGAGAACCAGAAAACTATGGTAAAAAAGACGACATTATAGTAATAATTAAGTGTATTTGAGGTTTTTACAAATTAACAGTAACTTTTAAATAATTAACAGTCCAGAGTTTTCTGGTTATTACTGTTATAAAATTAGAATTGAAAAAAGTGAGAATTTTGATAAAGTCGAATCCCTTAAGTCTCTACCTTTTTTTTTGATAACCCTGAGTCCGAATTTAATGAATTTGAGCCGCGTCTCAAATCCGCTGTAAGAATTGTAACTTTTGACATGTCAAACACAATGTAAGAATCTATTTTGAAAGTTTGACTTTTATCTATATTTTCATATAGCAAATTAAATTATAGTTTAAACATATTCATAACAAATAACACCGTATTCTCTTAATTCTAGAATTTCCTAAATGCTGTCTGTCTATTTTCATTTTGAGCAAAACTATCTAAAGGAACTGAGGTTTACAACAAACTATGATTTTCTCATTCCTGTATCTTTGCAACCAGATGTCGTAGACCCTTGCATGCTAATTAGATAACTATGAATTAGATCATATAGTCTATAGTTTGAACTATCAAAGGTTTACACCATCAGGTTGCAAAGATAAGAATTAGAAAATTTGAGTTTGTTGCAAAAACTCAATTCATTTTGGAAGCTCCGGTTCATTTTAAGTACCGGACCGACTTTTAGGCAGCTAGGTCAAGCTGTACGGTACAATTACAGACTATTTCAGGCAAACCGAGACAGTACGTCAAATAAATGATCCCCTGCTTGTAAAATGTATGTGATACCGTCCCTTTAATAATATTTGTTTGCCAGGTCGGGGGGAAATATAAACCAGAGAACTGTGAATCCAGAACTAAAGTGGCGATCATAGTTCCATACAGGTGACTGATCATAGTTCCATACAGGTAACTGCTCATAGTTCCATACAGGTAACTGATCATAATTCCATACAGGTAACTGATCATAGTTCCATACAAGTAACTGATCATAGTTCCATACAGGTGACTGATCATAGTTCCATACAGGTAACTGATCATAGTTCCATACAGGTGACTGATCATAGTTCCATACAGGTGACTAATCATAGTTCCATACAGGTGACTGCTCATAGTTCCATACAGGTAACTTATCATAGTTCCATACAGGTGACTGATCTTTAAATCAAGAGTTCTAAATTAGTTTTCACTCTCCCTTTATAAGTTTATTTTGATTGATCCTGAGAATAGCTGAGGGTAGTTGAACTAAATACAGCTGGTTTAACTACTGTTCTTGACCTTTCCTTGTACCATAACTTTTAACAGTTGTTAAACCAACCTTCAATAGCCAAACTACGTTCTTGTTTTTGTTATTTATTTAAATCTAATGATTTTCAGATCACGTGATGATCAACTTAAAGTCTTCCTGCGACAATTGCATCCTTTCTTACAGAGACAAGAACTAGAATACGGGATATATATTATAAATCAGGTATAACAAGAACTAGAATACGGGATATATATTATAAATCAGGTATAGACAAGAGACAAGAACTAGAATACGGGATATATATTATAAATCAGGTATATACAAGAGACAAGAACTAGAATACGGGATATATATTATAAATCAGGTATAGACAAGAGACAAGAACTAGAATACGGGATATATATTATAAATCAGGTATAGAAAAGAGACAAGAACTAGAATACGGGATATATATTATAAATCAGGTATAGACAAGAGATAAAAGACAAAAGACAAGAGACAAGAGACAAGAGATATTAGAAAGAAAAAAAAAACTATAGGCATGAACTCACTGAAATATATAAACTGTAATTTATTACAGGGTGGAGAGGCACCGTTTAACCGTGCCACCCTGTTAAATATTGGTTTCCTTGAGTCAAGTAGAGATGGAGATTATACATGCTTTATCTTTCATGATGTAGATCTTTTACCAGAAGATGATAGGTAGATAAACAACATTATTAACTTTCTTAAACAAAAATGTCCACAATCTTCAATGAAAAAGTTTGATTCCTGCACTTTATTATGGGTAAAAGTCATGTAACTTTTTTTTCAACAAAAATAATCACAATTTTTTTATTTAGGAACATCTACACATGCTCCGAGTCCCCTAAACATATGTCTGTAGCCGTGGACAAATTTAATTATAAACTTCCTTATAAAGCAATATTTGGAGGGGTTACAGCCATTAGTGGAGATATTTTCAGGTATAAGTATAGGTACAGGTACAGGTACAGGTACAGGTACAGGTACAGGTACAGGTACAGGTACAGGTACAGGTATAGGTACAGGTACAGGTACAGGTACAGGTACAGGTACAGGTACNTAATATTATTATGTCGGCTAGAGTTTATTTTATGAAAAGGGTAAAAGAGTGTAAAGAAATAGATGAAATAATCTGTGTATCCAGGAAGCTTAATGGATACTCGAATGAGTTCTGGGGTTGGGGAGGAGAAGATGATGATATGGCTTCAAGGATAAAATATCATAAACTCAAGATATTTAGAAATAAACCAGAAATATCCAGGTTAAACTTTTTAATTCATGCTTTAAGAGAAAATCCATCGTGATCTCAAGTAATCCTTGATTAAAAAAAGTCACATTGCTTGATTCACATCCTTTAAACCTTTGACTGAGAAAAAATGAAAAAATGATCGCGATATCATTTTCTTTTACAATAACAGACTTGTGTATTACTTTCCTAATTAATACTCAGATAGAGGTTTTCACTTGACAATTGGTAAACCTGACAATTTAGTTAAGCTGAAAATTTGGTAAAGCAGACAATTTGGTAAGCCTAAAAATTTGGTAAACCTGAAAATTTGGGTAACTTAACAATTTGGTAAACCTAACAATTTGGTAAACCAAACAACTTTGTGAACTTGATAATTTTGTAAACTTAACAATTCTGTAAGCTTGGCAATTTTGAAAGCCTGAAAATTTGGTAAATTTGGTAAATTTGACACATTTATCAAGCTTGGCAATTTGGTAAGCCTGAAAATTTGGTAATCTGACAATTTGGTAAACCTGACAATTTGGTAAGCCTGACAATTTGATAAACCTGCAACTTGTTAAGCCTGAAAATTTGGTATTTGAAAAAAATTGGTAAACTTAACAATTTGGTAAAAAATATTTTGATCGCTTAGGTACACTATGCTGAAGCATAAACAAGAAACTAAAAGCAAAGGAAGGTTTAAAGCTCTCAGAACTGGACGGAGAAGGTAAAGGGAAATTGGGAAGAGACTTAGATAATGAAATAATTAGTGTAGAAATTATCGGAATTTAATGATTTTGTTCTTGTTTGGTAATTTTAAATTTTATGATATAAAAATTTTGTTGAATAATGATAACAATAATAATAATAATAATAATAATAATGATAATAATATTAGTAATAATGATAATAATAATAAAATAATAATAATAAATATAGTAATAATAATAATAACAATAATGATCATAAGAATAATAATAATGAGATATTAATGATGATTATGTTTATAGGTATAAGACCGACGGTATAAACAGTGTACATTACATAATACAGAGTATAGAAAATGAACCCTTGTATACAAACATTACTGTTCTACCCAGGGAACCGAGAAAACCTGACAGGAAAATATAAAAACAAAACTGTTACACAACGGGCATTCAAAAATGTGGACCCTCTCTTTACACCCCAATTAGAGTCCATGTGTGATAATTACTAATAATTGTGCTGTTATAGAGTACACCTATAATTTCATGTCGATTTGAACAAATTGAATACTTTTTTTGTTTAAAGCTGTTTTCAAATCAATCTAAATGTCAGCATTCATTAAATATGAATAATGAATCCTTGTAAAAAGGATTAATTGCGATCTTATTATTGTGATAAAGTTTTCTTTGTTTTCGTACAATTTTCTTCTTCTAATTTATTTATATCACATCATATCAGTTTATTTCATGTTGAAATACAATGCATCAACATATTATTCTTCCAGAACCCGAAACGTTTTTGATGTTCTTTTTCTTAAAAAATTAATAGATATAAAGTATTTTGTTTTATTTAAGTTAATTCAATAAAATATGGAATAAATATATTTTTTAATCACGACGACGACTTTAGAAACCAGGGTGGTAACCCTAATACATATCTCCAGTCAAAACCTTCTTCTGGATATTTTAACTGGATGTTATCTTCGTCAGTTATGTCGAAATCAAGGCGACGAGATGCTATAAGTGGACGAAACATTATTCTTCCACTCGGACGATAAATAAATCGTCTCAAAAAAGGTCTTCGGCGGATAGTGTAGAAATATCTCCGCCTTGCCGGATGAAAGTATTTATAGGTAAGACTATGGCGAATATTGAGATGGTTTAGATTGGGTTTGGGTGGAGTTAGTCTCCGGATACCAACTGGAAATGTCTGGAAGGTTGGGAAGGATGCAGAGTATTCTTCAGGTCCTGCAGAAACTGAGGCTCCATATGGGGAGAATGAATGACTCCAGGTAGGGCTGGAATATATATTCTTGTTTTTATAATCATCATCCTCATCCTCATCATTGTACAGAGACTTCCAGTACATTCTGAACATGTTGTATTTTAAATATAAAGATGAAAACTTAGGAATAAAATAAAGTATTGTTTTGAAAAACCATTTTTTCTGCAAACTATTAGTCCAAAGCCAAGAATGATCTAAAGGGTGCAAGCTCTCACGTCAAAATCGATACTTTTCAAAAACTAAATCTGAAAACGAGCGCTGTATAGTTCTAAAATCGACCCTTTCATGCAATTTTTCTTAAAGCAGTCTACCCTGTTATTACCAGTTAAATCTAAAAACTTGTATTGATCTTTACCTTGCATTGGTAGCATTATATACAGAACTTTACCTTGCATTGGTAGCATTATATACAGATCTTTACCTTGCATTGGTAGCATTATATACAGATCTTTACCTTGCATTGGTAGCATTATATACAGATCTTTACCTTGCATTGGTAGCATTAAATACAGTCTCAAACACTGAAAAGAATTCACTTCACACTTAGTAGCGGACATCAATGATAATTTACTATCTTAGTAGCGGACAGCAATGATAATTTACCATCTTAGTGAAAATTCAGTGACGAATTCAATATCGTCATTGTTATTAACATTGTAATACCTAATTTCAAAAGCCATAATATTATTATGTCTGCTAATGTTTATTTTATGAAAAGGGTAAAAGAGTGTAAAGATGTGTCTATAATGTCTCCGCTAGATGAACAGTGAAGACGGACAAGTTTACTCTGTTTGTAAACTGCAATTTTCTTGTTTTACTAAGTACACCTGTATGCAGTGCAGTCAAAACATAAACAAACAAAATGTGAACATAGCAGACGAAACTCTTTCAGATTACAGCTTTCTCAGTAGGTATCACTATACTAAATCAAAGAATTATTTAAAAAGACGATATCGAATTCGTCACTGAATTCCCATGTTTATTGGGACACCCTGTATATCGGGATCAAGCATTGTTCTCCATATTATGTAGACCTTTAATTTCTCTTAGATATCCCGTGGTAGTCCCACCTCGCAGGGATAACTTCAACTAATGGTTCAAGCACTGATCCCTAAATTTAAAAGTGTCCACATTTGATATTGAGATTAAGCGTTCAAGATTAACAATATCAATACAAAAGTTCTGACCTTGGAAAACATTTTAAACTTCGATCTTTTGAAATAAAACTTTTTAATTTAAAAGTTTCCGCGCGTCATCGTATTAGATTCATAATTTTCTTTTTAAATACATTTTACGAATCAAAAATTATTAAAAACTTTAATAGTTTAAATTCTTTTTTTGCCATCATGCAATCGTGAGCCTAATAGTACAAGTATAATGATTTGTTTACTAACCATAAAATACCACTGACCCTGCACATTTTCAAAATGTGGTCGTCCTTTTTGTGCTTTCAAACCCTCATTTCTTTGATGTTTTTTTTAAGATAATAAGGAATACTATTTTTTTTATAAGCTTACAAACTTTCTAGACACATTTTTAAATAAAGACTTTTTTAGTTAATTACTATAAAACCGACTTCATCAAAATCTATCATTTAACAATTTGTAATTTTTTTTACAAAAACCCTGAATAAAAAAATAGAATGATCAAAGTTAAATTTCCAATTTCCCCCCCCCCCTCCCCACCAATAAAATAGAAAAAATGAGAAAATTACTAAGTGTTTAAGTGTGGTAGTGTTCCTAAAGCTAAGACTGCTGCTACTAGAAAGAGAAGAGGGTTTGCTGTTGTGATTGATGTAAACCCTATAAACCAAACTGCACGACGGAACCAGGTTGTTAATTCTACCACAAAATCCTAGATAAAAAAAGAATTTTTACAAAACTGTTTGTTTTTGTTGCATTATTTATTAATCTTATCAATGGATACTCTGATTTTGAGATTTAAGGTTTCATTTTGAATTACAAGGATTGAAATAAAGTTGCAGTCAGTGCAGTCAGTGCCTTCAAACTCAGCAGTCATTTCAGTAAAAAAAATCAACTATAATATTGAAAAAGTGCAATTGCGAAGTTGAACCTTTTACAACTCTTTCTTCGTCGAACTTTGAAATTTACAAGATTTTTTTTCTTCTAAACAATTTGGATTAATAAATGTTACCCTTCGAGAAAGGGAGGTATCTCCTATCAGGCCATTTATCACACCTCCCACCCCTCCTCCTCCTCCTCCCCCTGGTTTCCTGCGAGGTTTATTAATTTGTTTATGATTATTCCCAAACATAGCCTCCATGTTTGACTGGAAATTAGTGGGATAGTTCCTGGGTATTTGCACAATCAGCCATTATATTGATAATTACTCCATTAATATCAGAAATATTATTAATTTGATAAGATCTTAGATTATGAAAACAAACAGAGTTTCTGGGAATACAATTTGATAAGAGCTTAGATTATGAAAACAAACAGAGTTTCCGGGAATACAATTTGATAAGAGCTTAGATTATGAAAACAAACAGAGTTTCCGGGAATACAATTTAACGAGCAATTTTATTCTGCAGCAGAAATCCGTAAGTCAAGCTGAGAGAAAAATTACAATTTAAAATATAAAATGTTTTAAAGAGAAACCCTTTTATCTCATTTATTTTAGATGATACAAAGCCGTCTTTATAGATAGAGCCACTTTATAAATAGAGAACCATTTGAAATTACATCTTCAGCCCCTTTCATGTTCAAAAAAAATATGGCTGGTCATAATCTTGAATTCAAGAATTTCAAGGAAATTCTCTGAAATCCTACACTTTGTGGTTATCCCTGTATATTTTTTAGAAAAAAATACATTTGTATCCAGAAATATATCTTATAAGAAAATTACTTTAACACGTCGGACAAGGGGTGTAAAGAAGGGTTTCCATCGAAAATTTTTGTTGACCGAAGTTCGCGAAAATGAACAAAAAAAATTGTTTAATTTTTGTTCAAAATTTTAGCGTATTTCGATGCATTTTCGTATTTCAACGAAATTTTGTACCTCATTTTCGCGAAATTTTCGTACAATTTTCGTTCAATTTTTGGTCGATTAGAATCGAAATCTTTCCATTGCGCATTAAGAAGATCGTATTTTTGCGAAAATAAGTAAGATTTTGAAGGAAAGGTCTAAAATTTCGAACGAATTTTGCGATTTTCGCGAATGTCTCGAATAAAATTATCGAATTTTTCGTTTTCTTTCACATTTACCTTGGCTGAACGATATTTTCGCGAAAGAGATTAAACGAAAATTTGGAAACCCTAGTTTAAAGTGTAATAATTGTGGAACTATATTTTAATCATCGTGTATTAATAATTAGCAATTTTCAATACATGTAAATACATATTTAATTGCTCTAATTAACATGGGCGTGGTATCTGTTTCCTCTCAATTTCACTTTTTAAAAGGGACTGTGTGCATAATTTCAAGTGACCCTCCATGCAAAGATGGCAATGCCCGATTCAACAATACCTTAATCTGATAAAAAATGAGGAGGATTTTATAGCGTAGATTTTCAATGTCGAAAAGTATTTAATACTGACAATTTCTACATTGTTTCTTATGGGCGAGAGCAATAACAAATGAAAGTTAGTACTTAATTTTTCAAAATTTCAATTCCTAAAGCTGATAAAAAGAACAAAACTGCAGAAATTGTTATTTGAATAGATTGGAAATAAAAATATCAAAATTTTCAACAAATTGCAACCTTGGAAGAAATAAATCATACGAAAATTAAAAACTGAAAACTTTTTGATAACTTTAAGAAATTTTAGACATAATGTCATTGTTTGAAATTATTTTTAAAAAAAGCTGATTTCCTGATGTAATTCCGGAACATCGACATCATATTAGCAGCACCACGACCAAATATTCTCATAGGTCCTACTTGTCTTAATCTTATACAAAATAAATTCATTTTTTACATTAAAAAAATTAAATAAAAGGTAAAAGTGGGGTAAATGCGGTACAGGGCAAGGTGTGGAAAATATAATTTGTCCTAAATCATGTGAAAATATAATTTGTCCTAAATCATGTGAAAATATAATTTGTCCTAAGTCATGTGAAAATATAATTTGTCTTAAATCATGTGAAATTATAATTTGTCCTGAAGAATGTGAAAATATAATTTGTCCTAAAGAATGTGAAAATATAATTTGGCCTGAAGAATGTGTAAATATAATTTGTCCTAAATCATGTGAAAATATAATATATGTCCTAAATCATGTTAAAATATAATTTGTCCTAAATCATGTGAAAATTCAATTTGTCCCAAATCATGTGAAAATATAATTTGTCCTAAATTATGTGAAAATATAATTTTTCCTAAAGAATGTGAAAATATAATTTGTCCTAAATCATGTGAAAAGTAGAAATATTTCTTAATGGGCATTAATAATTGATTATTTTGTTTAAATTTTAAAGGTTTTTGGACTTTTAAAAGATTACACAATAATCTGAGAATAAAATTGAGTTTTTGCTCCAAAATCTGATTTTCTAATTTATATGTTGTTACAAGTCTTACACCCCGATTAATATTTCAAACTATAAATTCTGGTAGATCAAGAAGTTTAAGTTTGAAATATCAAAGGTTTAAACAGTCAGAATGTAAAGATTTAGGGATTAGAAAATTTCTTTTCAAAAATTTCCTTTTCTTACACTTGCCAAATTTTAAACGTAAAAGAAGATAATGCAAAAAACGAAAGAAAAAAATGTACAAAGTTTATGTTAAGCAAACGAATGTATTTTTCCTAGAATCAGATTTTTCCCCAGCAGTTTTCAGTCTTGGTTTAGATTTTGAATTGAGTTTGGAAACAGGCCTTGATTTCAATCTTGGTTTAGGTTTTGAATCGAGTTTAGAAACAGGTCTTGATTTCAATCTTGGTTTCGGTTTTGAATTGAGTTTAGAAACAGGTTTCGAGTTCAGTCTTGAATTTGATTTTGAGATTTTTACAGGATTTAGTCTGTTGCTGGATTTTTCAACCTTTATCTTAGGTTTATTCTTAAGACTGGATATTAATTTGAAATCAATGTTTTGATTCTTGTGTTTGGTTTTGTAGTCTTTTATTTTGTAATTATTTGGTTTGGCAGATTTAGGTTTTGTTGGGAAAATTGGTTTTATAAATTGGGTTAAACCTGCAAATAAATTGGTTTCAGATTTTTTAGGTCTTAGTTTCAAATTCTTTGCTGAAAATGTTGGAGCCGATCTTTTCTCTCTGTATAGGTCAAAGTAAACCGGAGCAAGGTTGAATGCTGGTAAATTAAACTCGTCCTGAGATTTAGATTCGTTAAAACATATCTGGGGTTCAATAAACCCTTTAAAAGCAGTAAGGTTTTGAATCATTTCAAACATTATTCCATATTGACTAGATTTCACTGTTACCATGGTTGTCACTACGTTCTTCCATACTTCTGAAATTTTACGCAGGTTATTCTATCTAGGAGTAAAAGGTCAAATTCAATTAACATTACTATTACGACTTTGTTACCCCGCTGCTCCTCTAGTTCTGATTTTACGCAAAAAGCTGATTTATTCTGTAACATATTATAAAATTAAAACATTTTTGTTCTTCTAAATAGATCTTCAAAACAGGGAGTTATGATAAAACATATCGATTTCAATCTTGTGCATTTTAATTTAGTTTGACGTGTATATAGCATTTTACTTTAGTTTGACGTGTATATAGCATTTTACTTTAGTTTGACGTGTATATCGCATTTTACTTTAGTGTGACTTGTATATAGTATTTTACTTTAGTTTGACGTATATATAGTTTGAAATAAAATCATGTCTCCGATCTTTAATTCATTATTTCATAATTCTGTTCAGAGTTGACACAGATATAGATTATTATTGTGTAACAGTAATACAATGACAGTTTCATTTTTGCTTTTCTTACACACGATTTTCTCAGTTACTTAATCCAAGTATCTTTCTATCTATCTATCTATCTTTCTATCTATCTATCTATCTATCTACCTATCTATCTATCTATCTGTCTATCTATCTATCTACCTATCCATCTATCTATCTATCTATCTGTCTATCTGTCTATCTGTCTATCTATCTATATATTTAAAGTTGATAAATGATTTCTTTCGCGATTTAACATCTTGCAAGCTAAAGAATGACTATTTCACGCCTGTTTTCACGATAAATACAATTTCACTTTAATGAACATCTTAAACAGTCTCATTTATTGATATGGACCCTTTTTGATCACATACTTAATTTTCTATTTTTTTCTGTAGATTTTTTTTTTGTCCATCTGTTGCACATAAACCCATGGAGAAAACTAGAAGGAGTTTCTTTAAATCATACAAATATGAAACAGAAATTTCTAATTTTTATTAGCAAAAGTCAAGCTTGTATTTTAAAAAAACTGACTATTTAAATCAATCTAGTGGAGAAATTAATCTATCTATAGTTCATAGGTCAAAACTTCGCATTTTACCAAAATAAGGTTAGATTTTATCTCCACGTGAGGATCAATGGAAGACATTCAAAAGTGCACAGCTCCGCTATGTTTGAAAGTTAAAAATGTCTTAATTCTTAAAAACTGTTCATTAAATTACTTCTTGTCTGACATTCAAACATTTTTCTATTCAATTAAAAAAATAATGGATTGAACTATTTATTTTTGCAAAAAAACAACAGTTTTAAGTGCAAGAGCAAAATATAAATATTAAATATTAATTGTTGGTAGAAAGTGTTTTAACGAAAAGTTAATTTTGTTTTTATTTGAATATTCGGAAATCTTAAATAACAATTCTTTGTAAGTTAGCCTGTACATAATTTACTTACTGCAATTCTCACTTTTACCGTTGCAAAACAGCCAGTGGCGCAACTGGGGGGGCGAACCGAGTTTCACCCCCCCCCCTCAGCAAATTTCACCCCCCTCTCGCCCCTTCCCCCCGCCTCCCTCACTTGACCCCAGTATGATCATGATTGTGGCCCATCTTTTATCAAATTTGGTCAATGAAGAAAAAAATACCAACATTTTTCTTCGGCGCTTCGCGCATCATTTCTAATAGAAGTTCAAATTTTTTTCTCGTTTTTGACTTGAAGAAAGTCAGTCATTCTTAAATTATCCTCTCTAAAAACAAGTATATATGTTACTTCTCATCAGTATTATAATAATGTACCATTTAAGGTTACACAAAACCTGACAATAAGAAGAATAAGAAGAAATATAATAAGGATTATATCAGACTATTAGGACTTTTGCAGACTATAAGAGGAAAACTATTATGGATTATGGACAGACGAAATATATAGTCAAGTACTACCAGGAACTACTTAATACTTAGTACTGCATAGACCTACGATTAAGGAATATATAGTTGATAAATGACTAGAGAAAAAATTACGAAAAAATTGTTGTAGACTGTAGTAGGGGACTTTATATATATAGTGATTATGACTATGCCAGGGACTAACAGACACTAAAAGACACTAAAAGAACCGATTTTTTTGGCGCTTTGCGTACATGTTTAATTTACTAATGTCGTTCATTTTAAATCTGTTGGAAGTATATTTTTTTAAACAAAAGAACAAGCTATGGATATGATAAGAATTTGGTATATTATTGAGCACAGGCCATCCCAATTAAAAAATGATGTTTTTTTACTTCAAATCCTGAAATTGCAGCGTTTTTTTTTTGAAAAATTTTCCTACTGTATCCACACCCCCCTTCAGCCCCTCTAAATTTTATTTCCCCCCCCCCCCCTCTAACAAAATTATTTTAGCTAAGACAATTTTGGATAAATCTCCGGGTATATGTGAACTCCCTGTGTTCAGCATTATTTACACTTGGAGCAGAATCAGTGGCAGGTTTCACTAGACTAGCTCCGTAATAACTTCACACAGAAGCAAACAGTGTATAGGGGACATATACAATGATGATGAGGAGAAAATAAAAACCTGGGATAAAACTTGAAATGGTGCAAGTGCAGGGATGGTGCGGATAGAATTTATTGATAAGTTGGGCGCAAGATGGAATGGAACGTTGAAATGTGAAATATGCTGCAGGAGGGAAAAAAAAATATTCTGAAAAAGATATTAGATAAAGATTTTTTCTTTATTTCTAAACAGACACCTTTTGCAATTGATGGGAAGTAGGGCAGATATTTTCTGGGGTATTATGTTAATATTTTTCAAAATTCGACGTCCCCTCTACTAAACTTCCGGATCGACCTACTAACTTTCGGACCTACGCCACTGCCAGCTGTTTATTTTTGTATTATTTTAGGGCTAGGTTAGGTTAAGACTATTTCTGGGCCGAGCGCTGCGGCTATAGACAGGCTATGGGGGCCGAGTGCGGCAAGGACAGCTGCTGGGGGCCGGGCGCTGCGGCCACACGTCCATATATAGCTGTAAAACCACGTACCAGTAGGTCGGATGTGTAGTATAGTGGATTTGGCGTAGGTCAGAAGTGGAATATAGCGGATTTGCGTAGGTCGAAAAATACACCACCCCAAAAGAGTTGGAAGAAAAATTAATAAAGTAGAACTTGCAATGCAAGATAATATATAGGACGTGTACGTCACCCCGGACTAACCAGGACGAAATGGGATCAGTTTCTCCTATCCATAGTCAATCGTCTGTTGGTCAAAATGATTCTGGAATTAACTTCTTAAAACATTCGCAGTTTCTTAAAATTTCTGTTTTAAATTAAAAAAAAAAAATTGTTAAGACGACATTTAGTTTGAACGTTGTTTCTCAGTTTCACCGAATGTTGAATAAAATGCCGCAACTCATGTTTTGTAAAGAAAATAAAGTTAAAAAATTTTCGGGCGTATTTTCTGCTTTTGATAAGATGTCCTGCAGCTCTTATTCAACATTTTTTTATTGAAAATAAAAACATTCTCTGGTGCTAATATACATATTAATGTTTGAATTATGATTACGACTTTAAAAATGTATTAAAATTGTAAAATATCAATAAGTTAGCTTTCTTAAACTTGTATTTCTTGTTTCAGAGAGACATGTTTATTTCCTGAAATGATTATTTACTACGCAGTTTAATAAACTTTCGTGTTCACAATGACCCTTGAGAGGCGAGGTGAGGCGTCATCGGCCGCCGCGCCGAGTGAACGTAAGGTTGTGGCTAAGGCGATAAATATGGCGTGGTTCCACGGCAAAATTACACGTGAAGTTGCGGAGAAAATACTGACGCCGCGTAAAGACGGACTATTTCTCGTACGCGAGAGCACAAACTTTCCGGGTGATTTCACGCTGTGCGTGTGCTTCGAGAATAGAGTGGAACATTATAGAATTATTTTAAAGGACGATAAAATTACGATTGACGAAGAAGAATATTTTGAAACTCTTACAAGCTTGATTCAACATTATCAGGTAGTTCTATGGTATATTCCTAGAGAACGATTTTATCCGCATACTGTGAATCCGCACATTCTAAGCGGATCTGGACCCAGGAAGCCAAAATCTTGCGGATCCAACGGATCCGGATCTAAAGCACTGTTGGATTGAGCGCCGCGAACACCTTGATGTTTTAATATGTTTCAGTCAATGTACACTACGTAGAAAATTTATAAATTTTTAGACAACAATTAAAGAAATATCATTCTGCTTAGTCCTGTTAGCTGTGATACAGCTTCAAGATTATGGAGGAGGGTTTTCAGACGTCATGCAGTGCTAAACACCAAATAATTATATTTTTTTTCTTCAGGCTGATGCAGATGGACTTTGCACAGTTCTGGGTGATGCTCTGCCACGCGAGGGGGGCGTTCCCACCACCCCTGGGAGGGAGGGGAGTGTGCCTGCGCCCCCCAGAGCTGAAGCCCCTCCTCCTATATTTATTGATAAATCTATATTTGAGCAGGCTGGATGGGTTATTAACAGAGAAGATATAACGGTAAGAAATGTCTAAATAATTTTACCAATTTTTTTTTATCTAAATATTTTTTTCATTTAAAAATATTTATTATTTTTATATTATTATTGTTTTTGACAAGAGACGAGGTTTTTTTTCAAGTAAAAACGTTCCTTCACTTGGTCTTTCGGTTCCCTTCATATCAACATTTATTAAAGATCCTAGCCTGGTATCCAAACTTTGCCTGGAACCAAATTTTTCCCCAAAAAGTCCGCCTAGAATTTTTAAACCGAACTAAGATCATTCTCGGGGTTTAAATGAGTTCCCCCCAATCGGTCACAAGGATCATGGATCATGAGTTAAATCGGAAATACAAACAGACAGACATAGATTACTACTTTGAAGATATAGAACATGGCTAAAGTCCTGGAATAGGAATAGGTTTTTATTTTTATTTTATTTTTATTTTTCAGTTGCAAGAGAAGATCGGGAAGGGTGAGTTTGGAGATGTAAGATTGGGAGTGTACAATGGAAACAAGGTTAGTAACTCAACCTCTAGAAACAAAAATATAAAGAAAGAACAAAACTGATGATTATTTGGTAAAATTTTCCCTTCCTTTTCTAAGAATTATAATTATGAATTTTGATAAATTTGGAAGAGGAGATGAAAAATGGGATATCAAAAGACAAATTTTATATTGTGGAAGACGATGCCTGGCCGCGTTAAACTAGTTCCACAAGATTCAACAGAATGAGATAGAACGGATACGGGGCATGAGTACTGATATCATCTCTACAGTCTACACGTGCGATATCGATATTGACTCTAGTTCTGAACCCTCTAGTAATAAGTTATAAGAAATATATATACTGGAAGTTATCTATGCGTTTTATTAGAGTCTGACTCACGTCCTCTATAATATCCTTTTTCATACTTACCCTTCAAAAATTCATTTATTTCTCCGTAAAAATCATTTATTTTCCCAAATTCAGCTAATAACCTTACTTATTGGGGTAAAAGTTATTTTCATGTGAGGGGGGGGGGTGGAAAATTGGACATCAAAAGGCAAGTTTTTACAATCTTTTTGGTACTTCCCCCTAAATATTATTTTTTTTCCCCTGAAAAAATCATTTATTTTCAGCAATTCAGCGAAAGTCGAAAACCCATACCTTACTTCTGGGGGGAAAAAATTATTTTCAAAGAGGGGGGGGGGGGTAATAATTTTTCAAGAAAATGTACAGTATACACCTAGGCTAGACTGGTTTGTATTTTTATCGTAATATGATAAAGCCAGATGGGGTTCACAGTAAAACTAACAAAGAATGAGAAACGCCTAATAAATATTGATCAACCCCTTTTAAATTAAATATATGATTGTTCTTTCTATTTTCTACTTCCTAAATCCTTACTTTTTTGTGCTTCTCATACAGCTGTTGTCCTCGGTCTTCTGAGAGATCGACAAATAAAAAAACCTAAAATGTTGGGAACCCTATACAAACTCCAACTTTATCGTTTCTCATATCTTGTTTAAATTTTTACCCTAACAAATCAGCAATGAAACAAAACTTTTTTTGGGCACCGCTTAATGCTTCCTAACTAAGGTGAGAAGTTGGGATGAAGTTTTCAATTTTAAAAACCCATTTCACCAAGAGGGATTTCTACATAGAGTGGAAATTTCTTGTCAATTAATTAGACGACTTGAAAATCAACATTGAACTATGGAATGATTTGCGACATTCATTTGTCAACCTAATTTTTCAAATATCATTCACTCAGAAGTACCAGTCCTGCCATTTCCAAAATGTGGTCTGCCTTTTTTGTGCTTTCAAAATTACTGGTGATATGAATGATTTTATTCCTCGTATATTTTGGGAACCCAGCTTTACCTAGAAATTAAAACTTTGCTAAAAAGTCTACCAACTCAACTTAGAATTTGTAAACCAACCTATGAACATTCCCGGGAGATTATCGAGTTCCCCAAACATAATTTGAGGCAAATCTGTCATAGGCTTCCCAAGTTCTGAAAGGACATACTGAAAGGACATACAAAGAAACAAAGAAACCGAATTTAATAGCACATGAAATGCAGACCACAATTTGAAAACGGCAGGACTAGAGAAATAGTGATATATTTTTTTCGAAAATCATTCTTGTAGGGTAAGGTTGACAAGTAAATGCCGCAAATTATCAATTAATAAAGACCAACTTTATGTCGTCTTCCAACTTTTAAAAGAAATTCCGCTACTTTTTGAAAATCACTGTATGATCTCTCACCTCACCGTTGGATTCCATATTTGAGGTCTTCTTTACTATTTACATGATAAATAATAATAATAATAATATTTGTTTATGTATTGTATAGGTAGCTGTAAAGGAGTTGATAAAGGATACTGCTGCAGCAGCGCAGAAGGTGCTTACCGAAGCTAAAGTCATGACGTAAGCTCATATATTTTGTTTAAATAAATACATCAAATTAAAGTAATATATTCGTACTTATATATTCTTACTTTTTAGCAACAGTTTTTTTTTTAAAGCTGATGGCTTATTTTAGAATTTTGAGAATTCGGTTTTCTCTTTAGACTCAAGCTTTTGAATTGCTTTTAAATTAATTTTTTTCCAAATAAAAGATATAAATTGCAGAGAATTATTTAGAGATTTTGTGACGGGTGTAAAATTTCACTTAAAGGCATAATCCAAATACAAAGAAAAAAGTTCTTGGCAGATTTAATGAACAACAATACTATATGTTGCGGATTTGATTGACAAAAATACTATATGTATCAGATTTGATGGACAAACATACTTTTTGTAGCAGACTTGATGAACAAATGTACTATTTGTAGCAGGTTTGATGAAAAACATACTATTTGTAGCAGATTTAATGAACAAACATACTATTGTAGCAGATTTAATGGACTAAAATACTATATGTATCAGATTTGATGAATATTTGCGGCAGATTTAAGTGTCACATTTTTTTTAGTGTATAAGGTGTACAATGTTCCCCAGGTTATTCCTTGATGAACCCCGTTATGAACTTAAAAACATCACTCTTTGATATAATGAAAACACTTAAAGAAAGTACGCGAGTTCTGAAGTATCATCTAACTTTAATTTACTGAACTAAATCTTATATTATTTTATATTTATACATTTATACAGTGTTTAAACATAACTTAGCTACTTTTATCCAAACATTGGCCAAACTTAGCACATAAGAATTCAAGGATTTTTTCTTAAATTGTGCGTGCGTGCGGACATTTACGACTTTTTTTGTGTATATTTGGTTTAAGAGAGTCAGGACAAATGTTCAAATGCACTATTGCTCAGATCCGTTCAAAACCCAATGCAGATAATATACATAATTCTAAGTTGGTGTGCACAAAAATCAGCCTCCTATGACAATACTAAGTTATGTTAAAACACTGTTTAAATTTCCCGGAGAGAAAAATTTTTTGTGCCCCCCCCCCCTTTTAAAGAGTCACTTAAAAATTCTCTTCCAACCCCTTTAATCAAGATAAAGTTTTTCTTAAATCAGCTTAGGATTTATAAAATGTATGGAGACTTGCTGCAAATTTAATTTAAAAGTTGTATGATAGTTCGAGAGGGGGGGGGGGTGTCCCCTAAAAAAGATTCCCAGATGATCGACACATCTCATTATCAAGCATTAGGGTAAACGTAGCTCTAATACGAAAATTAAGCATTTTAAAATAATTTTCTGTTTCCCGTCGTTTTTTTCATGGTGAAATTTTAAATATTCAATAAAATAGTTATTCTTCTTAGAATTGTTTAAACCATAAATTGTATTAAATTGTTTGGTCGATTAGATTAATTGATTTAAAAAAAAAACTTTATTGATTTCTTAATGTGTATCAGGTTGATTGATTGGTTAGTTATGACCTGAAAGCAACGGTTTACATGAAGAAAATAACCAGTTTGTCTGATACGTCGGATAACGGTTGGTTGGTTGGTTGGTTGGTTGATAAAAGTCTTGAAATACGGTTATAAAGCAACGGTTATCAGATAAAATAAAAACACATTTCATCTGATTTGTCATATTTCTTTTGTCTGATATTGATTGATTAGAGCCTTGAAACACGAGAACTTGGTTCGACTGCTGGGTCTAGTGATTGATGATAAGTCTGGTTGGAGCAAAATCTATCTTGTCACAGAGTTCATGGGAAGAGGTGAGTCGGATCCTAGATTAGGTATAGGCAAGTAAGGCCTTAAGAGAAATTTGTACTCAGAATACACCAAATTCTTATGAACTCAGTTTCGGGAACATCCGAAACTGGACTTGAACCGAAACATGAAACTGAACCCAGTATTTCAAGATATGGAATAAACGGACAAACTAACTAGACAGACAAGGGAAATATATATGTATATAGATCTGCGTTAAAAAGAATAGATTTCCCCCCCCCTCTTATTGCTCTCTTTGCCTAGTCCTCCCCCCCCCACACTCTTATGTCAAAACTGTAGATATTGTTTTGACATTAGCCTAATCAGATTGTTTGTAAACAGACTGCTAAACCAGTATTTAACCCCTGAATATTTTAGAATTTTTTTTTGTCCAGTAAATAAATTCTCTTAATGAGTTATGTGGGAACCTATCTCAATTTTAAAAATTGTTTAAAGAGACTGTTTCAATATACAGTTTCTTTTTCAGGGGTGTATATTGAAAAATTAACCCCCCCCCTATTTGCGCGGAGGAGCGTACACATTAATTTAAGCTTAAGTGGTTTTCTTCGTCGGAATCGAGGAAAATAAAAGATTTTTAGATTTTTGAAGTTTTGAGGAAATAAGTATTCAAAAGGATGATAAAACTTGCAACGCCCCTGTGTTTACCCCCAAAGCATCGAAAATAATGTCCCCCTTTAAAAAATAAATATATACCCAGCCTCAAAATATTACAAACGACTTTTCTTTGTCCGAAATATTTGCCTGGGTTAAATGAAGCTCAACCGTTTCCTTAAACTTGACAGTAAAAAGTTATCAGACATGTTTTTTATTTATCTATAATTTTAGGTTCCCTGCTGGAGTACTTACGGTCACGAGGTCGACAATATGTAACAAAGAAAGATCAAATTGGATTTGCATAGTAAGTTTTTTCTTAGTTTATTTTTTGAATTTGCCTGTGTTCAGAGGCGTATTCAGTACCAGTGAAATCTTCCCGGAAATAACTGAATACGCCCCTGCCTGTCTTATGTTTTTTAGATATAGTTTTTATTTCCTTTCTTGCTAAATGACTTTTTGTTTTGGTTAAAAAATTTTGTTGATAAAAATTTATGAACTTTCAATGGGGGGGGGATTGGTGAAAGAATATGTAACCTTTTGTCAGGCCTTGTTTATTTTGTTCTTTTTATATTAATGTTTACAAACACGTCCATACAAATTTTTGTTATTCTGTTCCGAATTGACGTCAGATGTGTAAGCCCGGTAGAATATTCATATTGAATAAAATGATTTACATACAAGGCACTTTCATAAATTCAATCTCCTCCGTCTGTGGAAAATCCATTTATAACAAATATTGTGAATATATTTCTTGCATTCAAATTGAATTATCCTGTTGAGCCTCGCAACAGTAAAGGTACAAAATGCGGGGTCTGGTCGGGTGCTCCTAAAAAACGCAGATATGTGACCATTTTTTTCGGCCAGGTTGAAAACAGGTCACATATGAAATAATTTATTCTCGCGTTTGTAATGTTTTAAGAAATCAGGATGTTTTAGCCTTTTTTAATATTTTTTGAAAATTCCCCCTTAAAATTGTCGTTTTTAGTCCAAACTCTGGTTTTTAAAATAATTTTTTTAAATTCTAAAGATTTGTACATTTGTACCCATTCAACTGTAGAATATGAAGAAAAAAACAGCCTCCGGTTTCCCACGACATTCGGGCGACGTCTCTTAAAAATTTTAGTGATTTTTTTCGTTACGCAAAATAAATTATTTAATTATTAGACACAAAATATTGATAGATACAGGGTGTCCCAATAAATATCGAAATTTTGTGAATACATCGAATAGAATTGTGTACCAATGATTATATCTGCTTAAAATAAATAAAAGATGGAAAAAGTTAAAGTAAAAGGATTGTATATTTTAATTAAAAAATTAAAACCGTGATAAATCTGGCGCACATAAATCTCATATTAAAAATTATTTGTCATTTTATACAAAGAATATTATTTGTTTCCAGTGATACCTGCTGTGGAATGGCCTACCTTGAGTCCCAGCATGTTGTGCATCGTGACCTCGCAGCTCGTAATGTTCTTCTCTCCGACGAAGGCCAGGCCAAGGTGGCCGATTTTGGCCTTGCGTCCACCGACGGTGTCACCATTGATAGCGGCAAACTTCCTATTAAATGGACAGCACCAGAAGTAAGTTTTATTTTGCAATATTATTGAAATTTTTTTTATCAATCTTATTTAGGCCCTTCGACTATCGCAGTTTTCCAATAAATCTGATATGTGGAGTTTTGGTGTTCTACTTTGGGAGATTTACTCGTTTGGTCGGGTCCCGTATCCGCGTATTCCACTGGGGGATGTGGTTAAACATGTGGAGAAGGGATACAAGATGGAAGCTCCTGAAGGATGTCCCCAGCAGGTTTACACTATTATGAAGGAGGTAAAAAAATAATTCTTTTTTTTCTCGTATCCGTAAAAATTACTCAAATTTGATAAAGTTAATTATAAAAATACATTAATTTCCATTTTGATTTTAATATTTTTTTAGGCCTGGGATTTGGACCCTAGCCTACGTCCAACATTCCATCAAGCACAAGAAAATCTCAACGTTTTCAGAACCCAGAACCCTCAATAACATGTTCTTCGACTCTACTCTACAACCCTCAATAACATGTTCTTCGACTCTACTCTACAACCCTCAATAACATGTTCTTCGACTCTACTCTACAACCCTCAATAACATACTCTTCGGCTCTACTCTATAACCCTCAATAATTTGTAGATTCTAAGAGTCTTAGACTTTACTCTAAAGTCGGCATTCTTAAACCCTCAATAACATGTAGAGTCTTAACCTCTACAGTCTACAATCTACAGTTTCCTCTATTATTTGTGAATTTTGCGACCCTCAATAATTCGAGCATTTTTTTAACCGAGAAACATAAAACTCGAGGGTTCTTTATACTCCACCAACCCTAATAATTTATGGATTCTTATACCCTGAAATTTTCAATAATTCGGGGTTTTCAAATCCTGACTTCCTTAAAAAAGGGGATTAGAATTCAAAAATGTATTATAAAAGGATCTTTTTTTTTGATCCAGAAAGAATTCCCAGTCGCAACCCAATTATTACAAATTCTCTGAAAAGTTTGTTTTTCCGGTTTCTCAATTTCTTCGTAGTGATAGAAGATCTCAGACAAAATGTCGAGATCATTAGAAATTATCGATCGCATTGATTGATTATTCAAGTGATACTTATTCTGATGTCAATTTTGTCTAGTATAATAATATCCTGAACAGTCACTTTTGCTGTTTCAGGCTCTAAAAACCTGTTATGGGATTTTTACATTTAATACTTAACAAGAAACCAGATTTGGCGAATATAATTTGATATTTGGTTGAGCGCATATTTCTCTAGAAATTCCCAGATCAGAAAACTGGGATGTACATTTTCTCGAAATTAATATTTTCCCAATGAATAAAAAAATGTTGAATAGTTTTTTTGCTGAATTTCGGAAAATTGATAATTTTTAAGGAAAATTAAGGATTTTTTTTCGGTTGAATGTATCTTATAGGATTTTTAAAAAACTTGACTTTTGATGTCCAACTTTTAAACAAAAAAATTCTTGAAAATATATTTACCCCTCCCAGAAGACATATTTGCAGAATTGGTGTTAAAGAAGAAACTAAAATTCAATAAATCTATATTTGGATGGAAATTTAATTTCTAAAATATCTGTTTTTTTCTGCATTTCGGTTTTCCAATTTTTCATTTGACTACTAATCCACCTAAACCCTCTTTTTACCGCTACAAAAATTAGTAATCTCAATATTTGTGAACAATTTCTCATACACGCCCTAACTATCGCTGCTAACTTGATTACCCAATATTTAACATTTTATTTTTGCCCTGTTATATCTATTGTTATTTATTTTTTGTTTAATGTGTTTTAATATTTTGTTGAAAACATTTAATTTAAGTTGCCCAGGTTTCTTTTAAAAATTATTCTTATTTTTTCTTCTTCTGCTGCCTATTCATTTAACTTTCTTACAACTTGTGCTCAATCTGCGGAATAAACTCAAATATTCTTTCGTCCCCTCTTCTCCCGTAAACTTATCTTTAAAAATTCTAGTTTTAAAAAGTTAAGCGTAGGCTATTTAAAATCGTTAGCGATGGAAGGCACACCACATCATTTTCGTCCGCACCACAAACGACGTCACAACTCGCTATTATTTCGTCCGGCATTTGTTACATTATCTTTTAAGTACTTTAACTTATTATATTAGATATATATTGAGACACGTCATGTTGTTTATGATGGTTTCACATATTTTGAAGGTGATGTAGGCATCAAACAATTCATGGACATTTGTAGTTCTTAGTCCCTCAAGCAAATCAAAACCAATTGCTATGTTTCCCAGTAAAAATGTTTTTTACTATATGTAGATTTTAAAAACCTCAGCTCACAATCACCTAAAAATTGCAGCTTGGGAGTAAAATAAGGAAACTGTGTGGTCATGACGAAGATTAGTCGTGTGGACGAATAATAGATAAGGCCACCATATTTTCCTTTCTTTGCTAATTGGGCTTAAATTTCGATTTATTTTCAAACAAAATGCATTTAATAGAAATTCCACCCATATTGAATAACATGACGATGCCTAAATTTGACAAAAGTGTTAAAAGGCAAAACAAATTTATTTAAAAACACAGAAGCAACGCCCCTAGACGAAATAAGTTGTCACGTCATTTATGGTGCGGGCAACCAAGGTGTAATGTGCCTTCCTTCGCTCACTGTTAAATACGTTCTGCGCAAAATAAATTAAAGGATGGGGGGGGGGGGGGTATATATTCTTCTCATTTAATTTTGAGGTTTGTTCCATCGCATTGCTTCCCTTGCTTTTCTGGTGACATAATTTCCACTCGGAAGTCGATAAATTTAAAATATTCTCATCTTTTCTACTCTTTCCAGTACTTATTGTGATACAATTGGCATATTTTTAAATTGTTCTTTTCTAAATTGTACACAGTTAACTGTAGAATATATACACTATACAGTGTACACTTTACACTACCAATAAGGTGCCCAATGTACAATGTACTGGCACTCGATTTGTCAGTTTAAATTTATCGACCTTCAACAAACCTGTAGCCAAACACAGTGTATTGTGTATTGTTATAGTAATGTTGTACAGTTGAATTTTTTCTAATATCATATTTATTAAAATTAACTCACTGTCATGTCTTGAATTAACCGACTGCGGATTATACCTTTTTTTGTACTTAACAAACAGGTTTTGTGATCAAAATGGCGCTCAAATTTGACTCAATTTTGATATTACAAAAACAAAACTTAGGTTTTGGTTGACTCTGTAAGTCATTCCATCGGATGGAGCTGTTAAAATACAAAACCAATTTTTGAGAACCTTTTTCTAACCATCGAGTTTTTTAAAAACTTAGTTTTTGTTAAATGATTTTTAAAGCTTTCTTATTTTTTCGCTTTCTATTTTTACAATTTCTAAAGTCCTAAATGTTACTTCAAGTGGATTCCATCTGAAGATTAGAATCGAATCTTTGTGGCCAAATGTTTGTACGAAAAACTAGCATTAGTTTAATAAAATTTGTAATTTTCATTGATCAACAAATATAGAAGTACAAAAATATTACGCTTTTTATTAATTTTAAATCACGAGAGTGGAATCTCTTTGGGTAGGTATGGGCATCGGCATCGTTTTTTCAGCGAACAAAATGTTTGAGAGCGAACGAAATTTTTCGTTTAACAAGGTGTTGAACTCCGAAAAAACGAACGAAAAACGAAGGAAATTGTTCAGTGAAGTAAAAAAATTATCGTTATTTTACGAACTAATTAAAAACAAAACGAACGATTTAAAATAGTTTGAACACACTTTGAATAAGTATTGCTTTTTATCTTAACGAACGAATTTTCCAAAAGATTTTGGGAAAAATATTATTTTTTTTTACCGAACGAACGATTTTACTGACTGATCGTTCAGTGGGAAAGTGAATGAAATAGATGGAATATAAACGATAATTTTGAGAGTTTTTATTAGGGTTTCTTTCCATTAGGGTTTCTTTGCTATTTAGAAGCTAATCTGAAATCTTAAGGGGGGCTGCGCCCCCCCGAATCCGTCGGGGTGCGAAGCTCCTGTCGCCCCCCCCCCCTGTATCCGCCCCTGTTACAAACAAATTAGACTGTTTCTTCTTCCTTTTAATAGAAATACTTTCTCAAGTAACTCCAACCTCTGCGCAGTTTTAACATTAATCATCATTTAAAGTTTATTTTAAAACTGCTCTGAAGAAAATCTTACCTCAGGGCATAACATCACTTAATAAAATCTAATTTCTCTCTTTAGAGAGGCGTTTAGAGCTTTATACATCTGTTTGGTTGGTTGATCAGTCCACCATTAACCACGGAGTACAATGCTAGCTTGCTTAGCAAGTCCTAAAATTCAGATAATACTGCTTCTTCTCTTTGCCTGGGCAGAAATCATAAAGAGTGATCAGAATCAGACTGGACAGACTTCATTTAAGCACCTTGAACATGGGAAGGGAGAGAACTCACCAAGACTGGCGCAAGGAATGAAAGCTTTGAACACAAAAAGAAAAGGAGAGAAAGGAAACAGTACGTTCAAGACCAAGAGTGGCCCTAAACCATTCCAAGAAATGCCAGTTGTGTTCCTGATAGAGTTGGTCCTGGTTCTGGTCGGGAACCTCTGCACCTGGATGATCAGAAACTATAAAAACTCAATTCCTTTCGTGAGGCTCAACATGATCATTCTGGTCTACCATTACCTAGTGGAGATAGGAAACATTGCTTTAACATTTCAGGTAAGAAAAAGTATTTGGTACTTAAATACGTAACAGTTACAAATATTGACCTCAAATCACCTTTAAGTAGACTTTTATCTGGACTATATCTACTTTATATAAACGATTTGCCCCTAGCAACATCTTTTTTTACCAGCCTCCTTGCAGATGATACTAGTTATTTTAAGTCATCTCCTGACATTGCAAGCCTAATACCTGATGCAAGCACTGAACTAAAAAAAGCAGCAAAACGGTTTCAAGAAAATCGTTTGTCACTAAATGTCTCCAAAACCAAGTATAAAGTATTTAGAAATAGAAATATGCACTTTGACCCCAACAGTTGTAATATATCAATAGGAAATGAGATACTTGAAAGGATTGGTAATGACTGTATGAACAAATATTTCAAATTTGTTGGACTTAAACTTGACCAATTTTTAAACTGGGATTTTCAAATTGAACATATCTCGAATAAAATTGCTAGCTCAATCTTTGCTTTGTCTCAAATTAAGAATCTCTTACCATTAAATATTCGTCTACTTGTTTATTACTCTCTTGTAAGGCCTCATATTGAAAATGGAATTGTTACTTGGGGAGGGGTTAAAAACTCTAAACTGCAAAAATCAGATCTTTGCAAAAAAAAGGCAATCAGAGCGGTTAATAATAGTACTTTCAAGGCACATTCAAATCCATTATTTTGAAAACTGAAAGTTCTTAATCTTGATGATACATACAAACTTTGTGTTCTGCATTTATGCATGGATACTTGAATGATAACCTCCCCTCTTCCCTCCAAAATATGTTAAGTCTTTAGCTGAACCGAATAGAACAAAATCATATAAACTAGAACGGGTTTTAAACAAAAATTTAGAAAGTTTTCCGTCCGCAATGTTTCTAAATTGTGGAATGAAATTGAAATTGACCTTAAAGAAACTAAATCTGCAAAAATATTTAAACAAAGAGTAATCAATATTTATCTTGAGAATTATGAGAGGTTTAAATGAGAAAAACCTAGCTGTATATTGTGTGAATAATTTTTATATAAAAAAACTTAAATAACTGAAACTTTATTAGCTTATTTCTGTTTCTGTAACTACCATCATTAACACCCTGTATTTTAATTTATCTCTACATAAAAATCCCTCTGATCTCACCCTGCCACAGATCACCTGACAATCTCCTTCCTTCCAATCAACTCCTTACCTATCCAAAAACAGATCTTGATATGTGTAACCAATTATATGCAGTATCGTTAATTAACTTCGGGCCAACCACTCAAAACAACCAACCCTGGTTAGGCGGGTCCAAACTGCATGGTAAATTGTGATTGCTTATTTGTAATATCTCATGCTTTGTAGTTGAATAAATATATGAATGAATGAATGACTTTATTCTTTTTAATTTATTTGTGGGTATCCCTGCAGGGTTTTCATTCGTTTTGAAATATCGAAACTATAAAATTCATGCATTGTTTCACAAAAAAAGTAAAATTTGACATATTATAATTATTATTAGAAGTAGTAATACTATTATCAATATCATTATTATTATTTTTATTCAAAGTAAAAAGTGAAACTTGGGATAGATAAAATTAGACAAAGTGCTAAAATATAAGCTTTTTATAGATCTTTTTACACATTTAACCATTATGTTTACTGAGAGCATAGATTTTCCTTTCACCCTTGAATTTTTCATTCATACATTTATAATTATATTTGCCATTTAGGGATGCATAATGATGTTCCGGTCTCTCATCGCTCATGTTCCTATGCTGGTTGCCTTTTCAGCCAGCTTCTTGACAAACTACGTTGCTCTCATCATGGCTGCTCTAATAGTGGAGATGTCTGTACTTCGGGTTCTAGCGGTCGTTAGTTTTGGAAGGTTTTTTGGTTTTGATCCGGTTTTAACCTCACAACTGATGATGTTTTTCACCTCAATCCTTTATCTACCTTTGATAATTTGGCTTCACTCCCACCAGCTTAGCATTAAATATGTTTCTCCAATGGAGTCCTATCTCACCGGAACAGTAGCGACTGTTGGAACTAATAAGATTTTTATTGTCCATGGTGTACAAGTAGTCATTCTTCTTCTGGTCTTCACTATCTCCTACATGTACATAAAGTACTACCTGGACAGAAAACATAGCATTGAGGTCACTATGGCAGAGAAGGCCTCACCCTCAATGGATATTTTTTCTCTAACCGCGCTGATGGTGGTCGCAGTTTTCCAGTTGACTTCAATCTTAGTGATTATTTACTTTCAAAAACAACAGAAAACATTCCCGATTGGTGCAATAGTTACCAGCCTGGTATTCACCATACCCAACTTCTACTTCGCCAGTAAATGCTATGTTCTGGAATATAATCTTCTAGCGCTAAGAAGATTTTGGAACAACAATCATATAAATGTTCCAGCTGTAAAGATTCCTGAAAGAAACCCTGAGACAAGGCCAAACCAAATTGATGTTGCCAGAACTTTCAGTTCAAATATAGTTGCGGGGACAGACTACTCCGAGGCGATGCATGTAGATAGGGAGGGCGGATCTGATCTTGACCAAGTTGGGAAACACGAGAGCTACAGATCTTCCAGCAGAGAAAACTAGTAGAGAACATGGCCTAGGCTGGATTTCGGAGAAACCAAACAGAGTTTGCTATTATGGAAATAATTCAAAGAAATGTGAGACTCTTTATGGAACTTGATTAAAAACCAAATAAAGGATAAATATAAACAAGTCTATTAAACTAAAGTTTAATCCGTCAAAAACAGAGATAAAACTCATTTTTGAAATCTTTGATCGGCAAGGTCAACAAAAATCTTTGGCCTTAATATGTTACAGATTTGCGTTTTTAAAAGGGATTAAACATATAAATGGGATTAAACATATAAAAGGGATTAAACATAAAAGGGATTAAACATATAAAAGGAATTAAACATATAAAAGGAATTAAACATATAAAAGGGATTAAAAAACATATAAAAGAGATTAAACATATAAAAGGGATTAAACATATAAAGGGGATTAAACATAAAAAAGTTCCGACCTCGGACTTTCGGACTTTTAAACGTCGATCATTATGATTATTTTAGGTCTCACTGACATGATAGAGAGTAGCAATTTACTTGTTGTTGTTGTTGTTGTTGTTGTTGTTGTTGTTGTTGTTGTTGTTGTTGTTGTACTATAATAAATATTTTTGTATATATTTGGTTGTATCTAATTTAATTGTTTGTTTCGTTTTGCTGAAGTGAATAGGCATTCTCAAGAAGTTTTTTTAGGGTTTTATTTTTTAATTAAGATTTAAATTTGATATTTAACATTCTTAATCTCAACTTGAATTAGTTTTTAAAGTTTTCAAATTACTGTACTTTTTGCGCACTTCAGTCCAGCAAAACAATATGAAAAATTACAATTTAGTGGGAATGGGTAATTTTTTTTTTCATTTTAATTATATATTTTGCTGTGAACATTAGAAATGATCAATGCATTAAATGCATTAGATAAAAACTTCAAACTGAATTTTTAGGAATATAATTTTTCAGAGGTGAAAATCTGTTTATTCTTTTTTTTGATTTTACTGAAACCTAAATCAAATCTTCTTAAGCAGATTTTCTCTTGAGTGTTCATCATAATTACAATTCCACAATTCTTTGATATTTCACTTTTCTTTACATACACATACTATAAGATATGAAAATACATTATCAAGTACAATATGTGGCGACAGAGAAATCGACGAATCATTTGTGACGTCACAAATGTCAAATTATAACAAGGAGAACAAAATTTCTCACATTAGTTGACATGTTTTCTAAGATTAAATAAAAAAGTGTAAAAACAGAAAAAAAGAACACATAGAATTGCACTTATTTTACTGTAAGATCAGCATTTTATTCTAAAATTATTACTATTATTAATAATTTTGTCGGATACAAAAACTGAATTGACGTCAGAGTGTACAAATTCTCCGTTGACATCTTAAACTAGAATCTATTTGAGATATATCGGTCTTCAAGTTCTTACGTCTTAATTTTTCCTCCATTATCTGTGCTGCATAAAACAGAAAACAAAGAACACAAAGAATTGCACTTATTTTTCTGTAAGATAAGCACTTTATTCTAAAATTATCACGTATTATTAATAATTTTGTCGGACACAATAACTGAATTGACACTTGTGACGTCAGAATACAGCTGTACTTAGAGTGTACAAATTCTCCGTTGACATCTATTAAACTAGAATCTATTTGAGATAATTGTGGTCTTCAAGTCTTAATTTTTTCTCCATTATATGTGCTGCATAAATCCGCATTCCGCTAGTTAGGTTTTTAAAAACAAATCGAAAAAAGGAATTAAAAATAATGAAGCTTTTTTCTCCCCCCCCCCCCTGGCTTTTGAGCGTTCTAAAAGTGTTACTTCAGGTTCGCTTTTTCCTATATTTGCTTTCAGGGTCAACATTTTCATTGCAAAGTGTAAGAAAAGCAATGTCTTTTTAAGATGTGTTTTCTAAACATTTACTTGGTGTTAGGTTATATCCCCAGCGCAACTTCCCCAGTCACAACTTCCCCGAGACATCTTCCCCAACAGCAATTTCCCCAACAACCAATTTCCCAAACACTAACTTCCCCAGTCACTAATTTCCCCAACAACAACTTCCCCAACACTAACTTCCCCAGTCACTAATTTCCCGAACAGCAACTTCCCCAACAACAATTTCCCCATGCAGTAAAACAGCAACTTCCCCAACACTAATTTCCCCATGCAGTAAAATATCAAATATTTCCGTTTTTAACATTATTTCAATGAACAAATGCGCAATTTTAAACTAAAAAATTCGGAACTTTTTGAATGTGAAAAAATCAGTTGGATTAGAGTCGACAATGTTGGCAGTTTATACACTGTCCTCGAAGAAGAGAAATGTTCTGGTGGATCCCAATAAGTATGAGTACAACCACAATGTCAAGGGACAAATCTAAATCATTCTGGAACTTTGTGGAGAAAAGGAAACATTCAAAATGTGTAGCAACAGCCGTTGTGAAGTGAAGTTGCTGTTGGGGAAATTAAGAATTTTACTGCATGGGAAAATTGGTGTTTGGGAAGTTGCTGTTGCGGAAATTAGTGGCTGGGGAAGTTAGTGTTGGGGAAGTTGCTGTTGGGGAAATTAGTGACTGGGGAAGTTAGTGTTGGGGAAGTTGCTGTTGGGGAAATTAGTGACTGGGGAAGTTAGTGTTGGGGAAATTAGCGGCTGGGGAAGTTGCTGTTGGGGAAGTTGTGACTGGGGAAATGACCTAACACCATTTACTTGTCTCTCTCTATGCGAAATTCTGATACTGACAGAAAATATATACAGAAAACAAACCAAGCATGAACGTGTGCTACAATAATCGTTTTTGGATCTTTTTTTATAAAAATATTGCAAAATTAAATTAAAGCAAATTTTAGTAAAATACAGTTTTAAAATCGTGGAAGTTTTATTAAAAGTTTTTTTAAAACAAACCAAAATGATTAACAACTATTGTAACCGGTGTCTACCTTTTTGGGGGGATGAGGTGCCCATCGCCCCCCCCCTCTTATTTAGCTTTGACTGAAGTATATTCGAAGTATACAAGAAAAGGTTTGAGTTCTCCTGGGAGAAGATAAAAGAACTTACTTCCAAACTAAATAATTCAATAAAACAAAACAAAGTTTCAAATATATCAATTTCTTTATTTCTTTCTTTGGAAAGGATTAAAGCCTACTGCAGAGTGCATATAGATTACTATAGGCTTACAGCCGACAGTGGTGTTTGCATTTCTCTTTATTGCAGGAAGACAAAATCCTATTTTATATTTTAAGTCGTTGTTAAAAATCAAATAAAAGGGGCTAAAAGTCCCCCCCCCCCCTCTACTTGTGTCCTAAATGTTTCCAGGGGGACGTCCCCTACGCATCTCTGCCCCTTTAGTAAAAGTAAATTGAACGTATATAAAGCATAAAGTCTGACCGCGTCAACCTTGTTGCACCGGCTAGTCCTGTCCATAGAGCTATGCACCGTACAAACTGGGACCGGAGAGGTTGACCCGGCTCGGAAATTCAAATGACTAGGGCTGCCCGTGCCCCTCTCCCTTTAGGCACCTATTCATGTACGGCACACGCATGGGCTCTTTTTCTATAAAATCAAAAGGAAGAAATTAACTTTTGAATAATTTTTTTATTATATTTTTCGAGAAAAAAATTTCCTTTCTTAATTTTAAACATTTACGTGATATTGCCCAATTTACATTGCACGAACTCGATATCCACAGTGGATACTTTTAGAATAATTAGTTATGGCAGACGTAGCTGGTTTGCTTAATTTTAGAACCTTTGAGAGATATCCACAGTGGATACTTTTAGAATAATGAGCTATGGCAGACGTAGCTGGTTTGCTTAATTTTAGAACCTTTGAGGGATATCCACAGTGGATACTTTTAGAATAATGAGTTATGGCAGACGTAGCTGGTTTGCTTAATTTAGAACCTTTGAGGGATATCCACAGTGGATACTTTTAGAATAATGAGCTATGGCAGACGTAGCTGGTTTGCTGAATTCTAGAACCTTTGAGAGATATCCATAAAGAATTAATCAAATCCAACAACAGATTATTAAATTCCCTGTAGAAAAGGTAGGAATGATCCCACCTTTGTTTGCACATTTCTGCGTCAAAGTTTGGTTTAAATTCTGCTAAAGGATGAAAGGATAAAACAACATGTTTTCCCTTGTAAATTTAATAATATTGTGAATAAATCTTTTTATAATAAAAAAGAAAATATATTCCTTGGACAAATGCCAGAACACAATATAGAGTCCAATCTTACATGGGTAACAAGATAAACCCAGGCTAGACTAGATAGATAGATAGTTAGTTAGTTGGTTAGTTATAGAGATAACATAGTTGAAGAAAGAGATAGATAAACCCAGGCTAGACCAGATAAATAGATAGTTAGTTAGTTGGTTAGTTATATAGATAAACAGTTGAAGAAAGAGATAGATAAACCCAGGCTAGACCAGATAGATAGACAGTTAGTTAGTTGGTTAGTTATAGAGATAAACAGTTTAAGAAAGAGATAGATAAACCCAGGCTAGACCAGATAGATAGATAGTTAGTTAGTTGTTTATTATAGAGATAAACAGTTGAAGAAAGAGATAGATAAACCCAGGCTAGACCAGATAGAAAGACAGTTAGTTAGTTGGTTAGTTATAGAGATAAATAGTTGAAGAAAGAGATAGATAAACCCAGGCTAGACCAGCTAGATAGTTAGTTAGTTGGTTAGTTATAGAGATAAATAGTTGAAGAAAGAGATAGATAAACCCAGGCTAGACCAGCTAGATAGTTAGTTAGTTGGTTAGTTATATAGATAAATAGTTGAAGAAAGACATTTATTTATATTGATAGATTGAAAGTTAGATAGAGATGAGTTGCATTATACACTATATAGTATTTAGCGGTTGCCCATGCCCATGAGATGATGAGTTGGTCTGGTTAGCCCATGGTTACCCGAGCATACCAGTCTTCTTGTAGTTTTTTGTTCCCCTGCAGTATTATTTTATCTGAGCAAAAAGTTTAGAAAATTTTTTGGACGTCTGATCATAATTTACAATTAACTTGGCTGATTTGCCTC